TTTTCCAAAAATTCAAAGCAGTTTAAAGCTGAAAGAAGGATTGTTTAGAACCATCCAAGAAAAGGGTGTTATCGTCTGTAAATGGGGAAATTTTATGTTCTGTATTTTGGATTATAACACCTTTTATATCTTTGTTATTTTTTATCAAAATTGCCAAAATCTCTACCACAAGAATAATAATATATGGAGAAATAGGGTCTCCCTTGTGACATCCTCTTGAAAACTTAAAACCAGAAATATGTTGTTACCTTAGTGTTTTATACCGTGTGATCTCTGAAACGCTCTACAAGCACTATTTAACAGTGAAAATTTTGTTTTTATAATACATGTATATAACTAACATCAATTAAATTAAGATACAGGAGGATAACCTTTTCATAATATTACAACATTGATTTAAATCAACAGTAATATTAACAGATCTAAAAGAAAACAATCCATCTCATGCTGCCAAATTGTGTAATATCCTCATAATGACTGCAAGCTCTGTAAATGGAGTGTTTTTTCTCTGATCGGATTTCAGGCATATAAGCAAAGGAAGTAAACTCACACAACAGGCCACAGGCTTATTATAATGGCAATAAACTGCCAGCATAGCTCTCATGAAACATTTATTTTACTATTAAGTACATTCCATTCATATAGAAAAGATGCCGTTCATCCAGTTCTATGAAACTGGAAGTTATTAGATTACAAAAATACTAGCTAAACATGATGTTTGTAGTAAATTTATAGTGAAAACCTAACTTAATATGATGTTTATAGTAAATCTGTAATAAGAACCTTACTCAATATGATGTTTGTAGTAAATCTATAATAAGAACCTAACTTAATATGATGTTTATAGTAAATCTGTAATAAAAACCTTACTCAATATGATGTTTGTAGTAAATCTATAATCAGAATCTAAATATGATGTTTAAAATAGTATAATAAGAACCTAACTTAATATGATGTTTATAGTAAATCTATAATCAGAATCTAAATATGATGTTTAAAATAGTATAGTAAGAACCTAACTAATTGTGATGTTTGTAGTAAATCTATAGTAAGAACCTAACTTAATAGTATGTTTGTAGTAAATCTATAGTAAGAACATAACTTAATATCATGTTTGTAGTATATCTATAGTAAGAACTCTACTAAATATGATTTTTGTAGTGAATCTAGTCAGAACCTAGATATGATGTTTGTTGATATGATGTGATAAAGGATATTCGCGAATAGTGATTTTATCAAACAATTTTAATGGAATGGCAGGAACCACAGATGTCTGACTGAAACTTGGAATGATGCACCAATACACATAAAACGCTCTTTTACAACCCCTTTAATATGACGAACTAATTCTATACACTAACCTGTAACTGTCTGATCCAAATCTACAAGTTTCTGTAATAAAAAAATAAAACAAATATTAGAAGGTGCCATAAAATAGAATAGCTATTTAAACAGGGGATAAACAATGTAAGTGCATTTATATTTTTAATATATATACATTTTTTATTAATAAAGGCCTTGTACTTTGACTATCTTGGCAAGTGAATTCTGAGGAAAGTGCTTACTGTTTCTATTCTTTGTCATTCATTTTTTATCTTCAATGATCCAAGATGACTATTGGATACATTACGTGTACTTCTTTGATTTTCTTGGCTTGCAGAAGTCCACTTTGACTTATTGATCGCAATAAAGATATGTACATGTTAGCTTTCTGACTATGACCATATATAAAAAGATGATCACAGAAATATCTACCCATGAAAAATCTATTGATAAAGTTTTATCAACTCATACCTGTATAGCTGCCATTTCTCTGATGAATTCGTATCCTTTTTTATAAAGGATGAAGAGGCACTGGGGTGACACTAGAGCATGTTGCTCCCATGAATCGGCTGTAGGTTTCCAGTTTAATATAGCTACGCCACAACAAAAACAGATAACTTTATCAGCTACACCTGAAATTTAAAAGTAATGCAGTGTTAAATAAAAATATAGATGCTTCCTTAAATTAAATATTTTTTGTTCTTTGACTTACGGTACAAAACAATACAGAAAAGACAGAAACAAACAGGTCTTATATAATGGCTTTCAAAGGCTGTCCCTTATATCTGCATAATATCTGAGATAATATTCATTATGTTCTGGATGAGTATAACTACAAACCTCACATAAACACATTTTTGGAAATCACATACAGACAAATTTAATTCCAACAAAAGTGCTGACAGAAAATGTATTTCTATCAACAGGTAAATTGAATAAGAAAATGACTGAATTTCTTTTGTGTGGGGATTGTAAAGAGGTTTTGTAAAATTTTTATGTGTATTGGGGGCCAGGGACACTGATAGCATCAATTTGCACCATTCCAATTTTCAGTCAGGCGTCTGTGGTTCCTGCAAACCTCGAGTTTGATGATGTCACTAGTTGCAAAATTTAATTGTATCACATAAAGCCCTTTGAAATTACAGTAGTGACATCATAAAACGCCTAGAAGTAGGACATAAAAACTCCATTAATTTCATTTTGCATATAATGCCTAGTTTAAGTGGAATTGCAGGAACCACAGATGTCTGATTGAAAATTGGAATGGTATAAATTGATGCTATCACTTTACCGATACACATAAATATTTTAGAACCTCTCTTCAAATACCATTAAGTTTATATCTAAATGAATCCTGCTTTTATTACCTGTATAAAAAAATCCTGCCTCAGACATCTGAGTTTTAGTCTGTTGAAATTGTATGGACCAGTTTTTAAATGATTCCAACCGTTTGTTTACAGTTTTTAATTGAGGATGAAACATTGGATATAAATTACGCTGGTCATGTGACACTTCAGTGTTGCTCTGACATAGTTTCTTATGGACCAGTTCTTCTAATTCACGAGTAACATCCCCAACATCAATTCCACTGATCAGAGGACACTGGTATCGTCCCTTAGGTGAGATTCTTTGATGAATATTCCTGATATTATTTTCATGAAATGAGGCCTGACCTCCACAATACACACATTGAACATGATCTTCCTCATCTGCTAGATGTCTAAATCCATTTCTTGCCCATTCCTCTGATTTTTCATCAGTTGGATCAGGAAAAGTCAACAGTCTTAGAGATTCTCGTACCATAGATTTCTTCTCCCCAATTTTAGGATGGATGATTTTCCCTGTGAACTCAGCACTGTGGTCCATGCAACTTCTTGGCACAATTTGAAGGTTTTGGTTACCGGTACCGGTATTTCTATTTTCAAAGTTATCTACTCTTTCTGCCGTTTCAGCATCCTCTGCTCCAAAAAATAAATTGCGTCTGACATTTTGGGCTTCTACGTTATCAAGAACATGTGCTGTTGTGTGAGTTGGTGGTGTTTCGTTAGGTCTAAATAAGATAGTACTGGTATTCGCGTTGACATTGGCTGAACTGGTTGGTGTTTTCGGTAGAGTTTGTGAACTAGGCCTATTTTTTGGTTTGGATTCATCATCAGATGGTTGTCGAGATGGACTGCAAAAATGATTTGATGTCCCTTCATCTGTTGATGATGGAGTCGGTGGTTCTTGAAACAGTTTTTCAGCTGAAATATCCTGATTATTTGGATCAAGAAAAGGACAGTTCATTTTCAGTATTCTGTGGACTGCCACTGGAGATACCTTACCCCAGGCATAATATTCAACACCACAACAGAAACACTTCACTTCTTTTTTATCTGAATAATAAAATCCAGCTCTAGCAAGACTCAGAAACGATGCTGATTTCAAATCCACACGTGAAACTTCACGATTTTGACAGTTGTCAACATGGTCACGCCGAACTTGGTCACGCTTTATCAACAAATTGAAGGATGCAATCCTCGAACTGAGGCTTGACATTTCACTATTCACTTCCGACATCGTCAAAAGCAATGATATTTTACCAAATTTAATCCTTAAACACTACAAAACTAACAAAAATTTCCAAAAACTGATAACCCTATAACAACAAAGCCGCCATTTTGGCTATTTTGAAACTCTTCAATCAGTAAGGTAAAATTATTCAAAAGCATGTATGGTGGCCAATGAGCACTCTTGTGCATTTTTTCTGATAAATGATATTATTTTGGAACGCTTCAGTTTGGCATTATATAATAATTATATATATGATATGAACCATAGCTTCAGGAAATGCTTCCTAATAAAAATGGAAAGCTCACCTGAAAACATTCTGTCAATAGAAAAATTCCATTAAAATACAAATACTATACACTTTTGTCTCTAAGACACCTTCCGGATTCATGGAAACAGAAACCACTCTTCGCTTATTTTTTAAAAACAATTTAAAAGTTTAAAATGTACCAATCGTACAATTTTGGGAAAGAATCTCTAATAGAAACTAATAGTTTCGTTTTTTAGCTGACAAGGGATTTTAAAAAGTACATAATATAATTATATTATATAGCCATGACAGGGACAACCGGTAATTATGTCTGGTGAATGGTAGATGTCTTAGAAAGATGAAGAAAACCGCATTCTGGCAATTATTTTCAGGTACGTTGCTAGGTTCATTCTACAGGATTAAAGATATATTAATTTTTGTACTTTATGATACGAAATAACCTTTCTTACTAGTTACAGCCGACTTGATTAAAGTAGCGTTTTTGTTTTTTTAGTTAAATTTTCGATAATGACAACAGGTCTTAATCTTCGCAATGAAATTGAAGACAACAGTTTGTATTATAAACGCACCTAGGGAACGCAATATGTTAACATATGTCGATAGTTTCAAATGACCTTTCTGCACGATTTCTGCATGTTTGCCGGCAACCAAGTCGATGTAATGGGGTTATTCTCGAGGCCCTTGCCCGAATGCGTCAATCAGTAGTGACCAGCTAATCTGCCTATTTCGCAAAGTTAGGGTATTTGACGTTTTCGGTCTATATGGCTTATAGAGCAGAATATCGGGAACATTTCCTGAGCTAACTTTTCCCCTATGGGAGATTTTTGAGCTCTGTCCATGTGGATATGCTTGCCAAATTTCAGCTTTGTAACTTTTCAAGATAAAAACTTATTTGGATTTGAGCACTTTTCCTGCAGTTGTTTCTTGTAACTGTAACATTTCCATTTTTTTCTCTAATTGTTTTTAATTGGGTTTTAAGTTTTCCTATGTGTCTGAGGTCCAATTAGTAGGAAACATCCAAAACATGGGCCAAATCGGTTTATTTCTCAAAGTTAGGGTATTTGGCGTTTTTGGTCTCTATGACCTATAGAGAAGAATATCGGAAACATTTCCTAAGCTAAATTTTTCCCTATGGAAAATTTTTGAGCTCTGTGTTTTTTCTAAATGTCTAGACGGTCCATGTCGATATGCCGATATGCTTGACGGATTTTAGCTTTATAGCTTTGTAACTTTTCAAGATAAAGATTTATTTGGATTTGAGCACTTTTCGTGCAGGTGTCCCTTGTAACTATAATATAAAATTTGCATTTTTTTCTCTAATTGTTTTTAATTGGGTTTTAAGCTTTTTCTCATGTGCTTGGGGTCCAATTAGTAGGAAAAGTCCAAAAACATGGGCCAAATCGGTTTAATTAGCAAAGTAAGGGATATTTGGCGTTTTCGGTCTCTATGGCCTAATGAGCAGAATATCGAGAACATTTCCTGGGCTTAATTTTTCCCTATGGGAGATTTTTTAGCTCTGTTTTTTTCTAAATGTCGACATGATCCATATGGATATACTTGCCAAATTTGTTCTTCGAGATACAAATGTATTTGGATTTGAGCACTTTTCCTGCAGCCGTCCCTTGTAACTATAAAATTTGCATTTTTTTCTCTAATTGTTTTTAATTAGGTTTTAAGCTTTTTCCCATGTGCCTGG